TAATTAATAGGGTTTGCGATTTAAAAAAAATTAGAGTTTATATTAATTTAGGGTTTTTAAGGAATATATTAAGGAGAAAGAAATGAGGCAAAAAGGATTAAAAATAAGCAAAATTATACATATTGGCAGGGGTGAGTGTTGAACCAAAAATTAATTTAAAACCTAAAATTAGATTAAAAAAACATTAAAATTAATTATTTGAGTTTATTATGAAAAATCAAAGGTTTGTGAAAAATGTTAAGTTTTATGAAAAATGTTTTAAACAGAAAGAATGAAAATAGGTAAAACGATAAATAGAAAGGAAGAAAACCAAAACCAATAGGGTGAGTGTTGAACCCAGGCCTTTAACCTGCTTAACCTCCTCAGGATGCCTGCCTTTCCATGAGTCATGTATTGGTGGTTGTTCTATTTTAGTGTTTTGGCCTCACCGTTCTGTAATGAACCTGCATGGGACCCTGTCTAAATATGCAGTGTTGAATCTCATGAACACTTTAAATAAATTACTATATCATGAAATACAAATAAAGCAAATATATGAAAAAATTTAATGTTAAAACCGATATGCCATGTATGAATGCTTCTACACCCTTTTGATCATGGAGATCAAATCAGCCTTACCCTTACTGGAGAAGTTGTGAAATGTGGGTTTGTAATAAGGATGACTTGTTTGTAGTGAGATGAGGGTTTGTTGGGGGTTTGTAACAAGGATTTCAAGATTTTTATGGTTCTTGAAAGAATTTGATATTTTAACAGGGTTGTGGCAAAGGTCTTTTTCTGTTTGTCGTGTTCTGTTTGTGTGAAAAGAGTGAGATTATATAATGGAAATTAGAGAAAAGATATGCGCTTTGAATGTGCAATTGGGCCTCCAATAACCACAAGCAATAGTGCAGATTTTTTTTCACTTGAGTTCGTCATGTTCTATGCTAAATCTCATGGTCTTAAGTGCAATTTTTGAAGTTGAAGTGTGAAAACAAAATGTAGCCGATATTAAGAACTAACTCCTGTCCGAAAATGGGCTCAATCAGACAAATGGTGAATTAGTTATGAATTTTTGAAGTTTTAGCTCAGACAAAATTATTTTGGGCTCCAGTGTCAACTCTGACACGTTCTTTAATAAAAAACTGGTATTGATCGGAGTATAATCTGGTCTCTACTTTTGAAGCAAAGTTGTAGATCTCTGAGTCAATGACCTTGTGTAAAAAGATGGGCCCGATCTGATAAAAATTGACCGAGTTATGAATTTTCGAAGTTTCAACCTAGATGAAATAATATTCAACATTCAGGATTTTCAGCGTGTCACACACACTCTGAACAAAAACGAAGGTCTTTTGGATACTGTTCGAACTCAATACCTCTTGTGAGAACTTAGAGAACTAAATTTGTGAAATTTTGGCGCCGGAACCAGCTCGATACAATGAAAATCGACCAAGTTATGATTTTCTGAACATGACGCAAATAAACTTCTGTCACAAATTTTCTGTATGAAAATACTTGATAAATCCGCATTTTTGAAGACCTTCTGATCAAAATTAGCTTCCATCTGTGAGAGATGGAAATGTAGAGGACGTCAAGACGAAATTTTTTCCACTGGAACGGGTTCAAAACAAGCCACAATCTTCAAGTTATGAATTTTTTAGTGCGTAAAAACTGCACTTTCAACACACTTTTTCACCATATTTCTTCGAGAAAACTCACACATTCGAAGACCTTCTTTAAAGAATTGACTCTTAAGCTGATCCTAAATTTGAGAATACGTTATCAGAGATATCTTGGCGAAAGAACACATGAATATGACGCGTCGAGTTGGACTTGTGAATCTTTGAGCCCCGAATCATTGCAAAATGGCGAACCGATCTTCAGCACGGAAAATACTCTGAGAACATCCATTGGCGATATAAACGTCACTTGTAAACTGAAGAAGCTTGATAAATATACCTTTATTCCATAACCATAAAACCAATAAGATGCGTATATGCAAAGAGGCTAAATTTTTTTGGTACAACATTTAGCACACAAAAACAAACTCTTTTCTGATCCTTTAAACCACCCTAATGATGAGTTGTAATTTGTTTGCAATTTTGTTCTTTTCAAGGTTCTTGATGACTAACTTTTTTTCTTTGTTTCATGTGCAAAACGGAAACGACGAGAAGCTTGGAGATGCTTGAAAAAAGCTTGAGCATGAAGACACCCTTTTGCCTTGTCTTGTAATAGAAAATAGGAAAAAAATGTTGTAGTCCCTCAAATGTATTTGAATTTGCTTTTCTTGAATTTATTTGAATTTGAACTTTGAATCTTGTAATAATTTGGAATGTAATTTGAACAACAATTTTGAGGAATGTATGGTTTTGAAAATGGTGAGGGAAATTTGTAGCAATTATTTTATTTGAATGAAAAAATTAAAAAGAAAGAATGATATGGGCTTTGATCCCTTGAATTTTATAATGGTGAACTTTAAATGGTGTAATGAATGCCATAAGCTATGAACTCCAAGAAACTTCACGTGATGAATCTTAACATTGTTCACTCTTGAATTAATGAACTTGAATCTTGATCAATGACCCTTAACCTCACCAGAATCCATTAACCTAAATCTTCTCACATTTGAAGCGCCAATTTTTACAAATGAAAACTTGATGAGACCTTAATCCATAGCTCAATCCGTGAGGATATCCTTAAGAATAAAGATAAAAATTAAAAGATAGAGAAATCTTGACACGAAACATTAGACAAACTCTCATTGATGAATCAACAAACTCGTTCACCATAGATGAGAAACCTGATCCACTTAGCGCTATAAACCAAGGTTATTAAAGAACTAGCTGATTCATACTTGAGTCAAGATGAGAGGCATTACCATCCATAAAAACCATAATTCTTACCAATGACGTCCCAAACTCGAAACCTTAATTCCTCTTAAACATGATTGAGAAACCCTTGAGCAAATATGACTTGTATGATGAAAAGAAGATAAAGCTTTGTGACTCTTGATCACAACAGGTGTCACACACTCAAAAACCCTAGTACAAAACTGAAACAACCGGCTGAAAATCATCAAACAATGAAGTCACCATCGAACGTCTTTTATCCCACATGGAGGGAAACGTAAATATAGAGAAAACCTGATAAGGGAGAAGTCATGGTCTTGCGACCGAGTGATCGGGTAAGGGAGTCTGTGACGTGAGGGGAAGGTATTAGCACCCCACACGCCCGTAGTACTCTATGGTATCCACTCTTGTTGTTCTAATCTAATGTGTGTGTTTAATCTATGCTTACTATTTATTACTAAGGAGGAATGCATGCAAAATAAAAGAGAAAAGAATGTAGGGAAAATAAAAGTGTACTCGCTTGGGCCCTACCCCAATGCCTACGTATCATTTTTGAGGAATCAGAGCTACTGTAGCTCGGCTCACATGTTTTATTTATTTTGTGTTTTTTATGGACAATGTTAATTCCTCCTTCTGCTGCAGCTCGACCTTTGGAGACTTACGCATTGGAAGAAAAGTAAATTAATCATGTCCTTACCTAAAAAGGGTTTTAGAGAAAAGGTGCTCGAGTGCACAAAATGGTTTGAGTTGGTTTGTATTTTTGTTACCTTGAAAAAGGGTTTAAGTGTGATTAGCATGTTTTTGATTTGCTAAGAAAAGAAGTTTTAGTTTTAGTTTTAGATGCAAGGATTCAAAAAGGGGAAGAAAAGAGTCTAAGAGAGACTAGCCTATTTCTAAACCTAATGTTATCATACAATGGTAGTCCTAAGGTTTGGATTAACAAAAGGGAAATCTCTACCTAATGTTAGCATGCATGGTTTGCAACCTAAGGTCTAACTTGCATCCAAATGGAGCAAGTGCATCCTGAGGGAACATGGTATGTACAAGGATAAAGCTAACAAGATAATAAGCTCAAGAGAGGACACCTAGAGAGATCCTATCTAGGTTAGCATGCCAAAGAAAGTATAACAAAACTATCCTATAGGGAACATGCAATGAGAGCGAAGTCGTGATCTCAATTTCTAAATTGAGTGACTCATCGATCAACAAGAAATAAAGGAAAGCGATAAAATCCTATAGGGAGCATGCACTGAGAGTGAAGTCGTGATCTCAATTCCTAAATTGAGCGACTCATCGATCAAAAACCAAAGAAACAAATACAAGCACAACACATATAGCAAATGAAGTGCAGAATGCCTGCTACAGGTCTTTAAACAGCAACTTCGAGTGCACGCTCTTTATTTCCTACTTCTCATGGTATCTAGAAAAGCGTTAAAATGCAGAAATGAGAAATAAAAATAAGGTAACGATGATACCAAACAGAGAAGGTCTGTTGCCTCTTTAAGATCACGTAAGCGAAGAGAAAATTTTACCAAAACCTCCATAATGAAGATTGCACTCTCAGCTTTACTTTGAAAACTTCTTGAGACTCTTCAACCAAATCTCTTTTACTCACCCATATCATAAAAATTAAATCACCATAATTAATAAAAATTTCAATTGAAACTAGTATAGAAAAAGAAATTTCAAAAGGGGGTAAAGCTGTAATCCAGGTGGTGTATTGCAAGCAAGTGAGTTAGTGTTGAGCCCAATGAGAATGAACCCAATAATCCTTTTTTGTACATGATCCAAAAGCTACCAAAAAACATGATGATGAGCCTGAGAATTAGGAACTTCCGGCCTAGCCCTTGATCCAATTTCAATAACTCTAATGTCTTCAGCATTATTACACCACATTTATCATTATCTATTACCTAATGATTCAATGATCCAAAAAATTCAATAAGATAATTAAAACAACAAATAGAACCAGTCAGTAATTGAAACGACAATTGCTTGGGTACAGCTAGGTAAAAGTGACGCTCAAACTTCTACTCCAAACGCGATCTTCTTCTACAATACTATACACGGCGGCACTTGGTGCACAATTCTCCTTCTCCGATCGAAATCAAGCGGAGCGCTTCTCCCTCTTAGGATTCATCCCCAACCCACGTTCTTCTCACCTAGATTCCGATTATGCTCCAATTGTGCCTCAGTAATACTACCTCTATGGTTTCTCCTTAAATTGTTCAAAATCTGTGGACTCCATCAATTTGCAATCTTCCGTCATCTCCCTTGAATCTGAAACCCTAGGTTTCAATCTAAACCAAAATTACACTGCAACGACTTCGTATCTAAACTTGCAGTTTTGGGAATTCCGTTACTATAATCGGGACACACAACCTAGCAACGAGGGATATGATAAATATAGCAGAAAGAGGCGATTCGAAGTTTATCGGCCAGAGCAGCCCCGACGGATCTCCGACTATGACGATGGTGGAAGAACAAAAACATATATTATCCGTGAATTCAGGTATGACGTTACGTCTTTGAGCTTCATTTCGGATATGTTTCCTCTTTGTTTTTATTCTTTGCATTTCGTCGTGGTTGAATTACTTCAGTATCGCTCTTGTTCTTTAGAACAATGATGATGATGTAGAGATCGTTGAAGTAGACTGAATGTTAAGGTTAGAATCGAAGAAGGTAATGATGAAAGGTTCTGATTTCTTATTCCGCGTATGCTATTTGAAGTAGGTTAAGAGCTGATGTACGCGGTTCTTGCGAGATACTGAGAAATGCAGGGAAGTGAAGAGAGATGAAGCTCTGATGAATGTGGGAGTCTCTGTGTTTCTGAGAAAGTTGAAGGGAAATTGAAGGTGTGTCTGTTATCTGAAGGAGAATGAAGAAGCTCCAAGATGATGAAGGATCTTGAGGAGTTTTATGATGTCGGTCGATGAAACTTGAAGAAGAAGCCGCGTGATGATTATGCAGGTGAGTTTTTCTGTTGAAACCCATTTTTTGTCAACTCTCTATCTCCCTCTTATCTATTATCCCTTTTTCCTTCTGCTGAGAGTTTTTATGTTAGGGACAGTTAGAAGGTTGTTAGAAGAGTGAGAGTTAGTTACATAATTTCTGCTATTTTTGCTTTTTCTGTTGCAGTTAGGAAGTTTTTTGAGATTCTGTAGGAAGTTGTTAAGAGATTAAGAAATTTTGTTATGACAGTTGATGGGGGGTTTAGTGGTTGGAAACTGTTAGGGAAAAACAGTTAGGGGTTAGGAAAATTCTATTATTTCTGTTATAGGGCTGGAATTCGGTTAGCGAGAGTTTGCAGGGTTATTGACAGTTTGTTATGGTTAGAGGAGTGAAATTTTGTTAAACTGTTAGAGGGGAGGTTAATGAGATAAAATGGTGCAGATTCTGAGATTGGGTTTGTTATAAGCTACAAACTGTTTTTGCTGCCTCTTTGTTCTGATTTAATTTTCTGAGTTTCGCTTCGCAGGGCAGTTTTCTGGACTGGTTTTGTTTGCTTCCTAATTTTCTATTTTATGTACTCACGATTCCACCCTTTCCTGATTTATATTTCTGATTTTTGAGTGAAACTGGTTTTCAGGTGCAGGTTAATTATTGATTTGGACTGAACTAACTTGCGTGATTCGATTTTGTGTGGTTATGTGCAGGGCTGCTGCTTGGATATCTTCATGGCTGCATTGATGTTTCATGGTACATGATTGAAAGAGTTGGATCTCTTGGAGGGATAATGAAGACATATAGTGAATTGGAGTAGAGTTCAGTCATAAAGATAGCTTGAAAACGGAGCAAAAGAAATGGCAAGTGGAACTTAGCATGAAGATCTTTGGAGCCTTTGTCATAGTGATTAGGATTAGAGCATGAACAATTTGAAAGGAAGTTTGGCATGAGCTTAGCTTTAGATTTATCCCCTTTTTCCTTTGTGCGTAATGTAAGGCCTAAACCTCTTGTACATTTTGTAATGAACATCAATGAACTTTTATTTTGATGGAATTAATCTTGAAACTCGGATAATTTGAATGATGAAATTTGAATAATGAATGAATCCTTCGATGAGAACCTTTCCTCATTACTTTGTATCTTAATCCAAAATAGAACATGAAAGAGTTACTCGTATCTTTAATGACCCTCTTATTCAATTCACACTTGTATAGAAAATGACAAGTACTTGAAAGAACTATGATGCCTTTGAACTCTTGAATAAGGTCTTGAATGAGTTTTCCTGACCTTTGTAATGCCTTGGAAACTTGAATGACAAAGTTGTTTGATTTTACAAGCTTGTCTTGAGAATTATGGATGACTTTTGAATAAACCTATTTTGACTACAACCATCTTGAATTCAACTTGAATCTAGCTTAATATCATGACCATACTTTGTTAATGTTTTTATAACTTCACTTGTTCTTCAAGAAATCCAAATGCACTTCTTATTTTGCAAACTTCAAAAAAATTTAATCCATGACATTAGGTATCTCTTCAAATGATTCTAAATAACAAATACATGCGAGCCAAACCAAATCAATCCCGCCTCCTTGCAAAAACTCTTATTTTCCATCTTAACTCCGCCTCTTGTAATTGAAGTAACAAATAATAGCAATGCCTTGGTCACATTATGTGTCCACAATATCACCTTTGTACCATGATTTAAATCTTGCAATTCACTTTACAAAGGCACCTCATTTCAACGACTAATGATCTTGAAGCTAATGTATTAAGGAAAACCGTGTATATAGGAACAATCAGAAGCATATGAATGATGGTGATCACAAAACCCTAAGCTCCTTGAGATGATCCTTGATGGCTTAAAATCCCATGATGGATATGTCCTTATAGCTTGGTGATAAAGGTGTTCATGAGTTAAAACCCTAGCTTCAAACAAACTCTTATTGATGAAATAATCAGTTGGTTCAAGCTTGAGTGAAGATGAGAACCATAAAGCCATACAACAAACCTAATTCTTCAATATCCTTGATCCCGTGCTAAATTTATTGGTTAATGATGCATGAGGTGTTAATTGACCTAATAGAGGGTATGCATATGAAATGAGAATGGAATGGGTAAGCCAGATGATTCGATAAAAGGGTAGGAAAAAATTGGGGTATTACAAAAACCAGTGGATAGAAGAACCTATGAGCATTTGCAAACTCGAACCCTTGGGGAATTAATTGACATGTTTGGAGGTCTGAAAAGCTTTGAACATTTAAGAAACCCTAGAAGAGAATTTTTAAAGGAAAGGGATGGAAACTTTTGGGGTACAACAGTGAGGTAACAGGAAATCGTCTTTGGGACTTGGTTTGTTCAGACCCTGATAACCTACATATATACATTATTTACCATCCTTTTTTTGGTAATGGCGTGATGTTAGCTATCCAAGGTGGATAATCTACCACGCTAAGAACCATGCGTCGAATTGTTTAAGGACGTTTCCTCGAATCTTGTTATACATGTTTGGACGAGTTCTTCTAGAAGGATAACAACCTTCCTTAAGAGGTAGTTTATGCATCACAATATATGTATCCATTTTGGCATGTCTCTGTAAGGCTAGGAAGATATATCCACATATTCACGTAACAACTTGATCAACCTTCCTTTGACGCTTTTCTCCAATGTTTCCCCTTGCTTGATCTCTTTTGGATCTTCCTCTGTGCCAAGGTTAACGGTCTCAATAGATTCCTGATATGGTTGTATACTATCAGTTTTCTATCTCCCTCGCCAATTCTTTAGTTAGTTCAGGATCTTCATCATCTCCCTCTTCAACTTGGTTGATGGGTGTATCAAAATTATATTAGATAGGTGAAGTAGCATTATCAGTGATTTTAGGCATGGATCTACACTTTTATCATGTTTTGGTGTAGTTTTTAGTATGTGAATTTTGAAAATGCATATGGAGAAAAGTATTGCCATTTTAAATATAAGGAATAAATGAAAGAGAGAGACATGGATCTTAATCGAATGCGAAAGATAACTTTTATTAATCACGAATATTATATGGAAAAAAATGGAGGACCCTTACAAATAACCCATATGCCTTGGGATTTACATATGTTCTTTCAAAAACAAGAAAAACTACTTTGGAAAGAAAATGATCTCGAGAATCTCCACAGTTGTCCAACTCTTGAGTTATTCTCCTGGGGCGCATTCATGGAAGAAATTAGATGCCTCTTTTGTTGTTTCCCTTGTTGGATGTCATTGCTACTTGTCCACCATGCTCTACCCCTTTGTTGATAGAGACTTCCTGAATAGGAGGAAACTGCTCTTTGACCCCTCCATGGTCAGTGATTACCTCAATTTCATTCATAGTTGGACCATCATGTGGAGGCATGGTGTAATACGGTGGGAGAACTAACTTGGGTGTTTTTCATTTTATCGTAATTGTTGCTGATAGCAAGAGTCACCACCGACTTTTCTTTTATCTAATAAAGGAAAGGGTGAAAAGAACAGGAAAGACCTTTTGATATATTTCTTGAGTTCGGGGGGTAGGTTATGAAAAGGGGAGGTGTTAGCACCCTTTTCATCTGTAGTTATCTACAGGCTCTTTGTTTCTTGATCACTTTGAAAATGCTTTGTTTGGAATGTGTTTGTATTTGGTGCAAGTTTGAAAATATTTTGAAAACGCCTTTGTTTCGGCAAACTTTGTAATGATTCTCATCTCTATAAGAATGTATATAAAGTGTTGGTTTTGAAAAAAGCTCAAAGAGATGTTTATTTTTGAAGATGTTTTAAAAGTGTAAGTGTAGAAATGGTTTTAGTTTGTGAGCAAGACACTACGAGTGTACTACCTACTCAAAAAATCTTTGTTCTTTTCCTCCTCCTTTAGATGCTGCTATCTTACCATTAATTGGTAAGAAGCCCTACCATTGGATGTGAAGGGACAGGTGCGGGTCAATCGTACAGTCATAGAAGGCAACTTATGAGACGCTTTAGCAATTTTTGTAAGGGACTAGATCGTTTATCGAAGGCAACATCGAGGGACTATGATCTTTTTTATCGAAGGGTCTTTGCTAAAGCGTCCCACACTCGAGGGACATGACTATTTTTCCAAGGTGTGATACGGTGGGAGAACGGACTTGAATTTTGCGTTTGTTTTCGCAAATGTTTCGGTTGAGCAAGAGTCGCCACCGACTTTTTATTTTATCCTAAGGAAAGGTTAAAAAGCACAGCAAAAAAACATTTTGAGATGTTTTCTTGAGTTCGGGGAGTAGATTATAGAAAGGGAAGGTATTAGCACCCTTTCTATCCATGGTTATCCATGGGCTCTTAGTTACTTGCTTAGATCACTTGCCTTTTGTTTTCAATTGTTTAAAATGGTGCTTGTGTGTGTGGGTTTGAAAATGTTTTGAAAAGAGGCCAATGTGGTGGCAACCTTTGTAATGATCCATGTTGGGATGTATACAAAGGTGTATGTCTTTTGAAAAGGTTTTCATTTGTTTTTGAAAGTTGTTTTGAAAGTGTTGTGAGGTGTGTTTTAGAAAATAGGCAAGTGTTTTGTTTTTTTTTTTTGCATGTTTGATTCAAGTAACTAAGAGGTTATCTACTCCTAAATTTCTCAAAGTTTATTGCTATGTTTTAACCCTTTTTAATAAGTTTGTTCCACCATTGTATTTGGTGGACAATCTCATGTTAGGATGTGAAAGGGACGGGCGCGGGTCATCGTTTGGACCATAATTGCAATGGTGCCAAGTATCTTTGGGCATTTTCTTTAAGGGACTTGATCATTTTTTTGGCAATATTTTGAAAAGTGTTATCGAGGGACTATGATCATTCAATTTGTTTGTTTTGCCCAAAGAGACCTAACATGCAATATGGCCAAATTTTGAAAGGCAACAAGTGGAATACCCTAGGGGGTGCAAGTGTGATTTGTGTGTCCATTTTCATGCTTGTTTGTCTTGAGATTAGGTCATAACTATTTTGTTCATTTTTATTCGCATATAAACCCTAATTCTAACATTGTATATTTAGAAAGCGATAAAGTGCGAAATTTAAACTCCTACGCTATTACAACACAATAATATAGGGAGGGGGTACAATGTTTCAAATGGGGATTTTGACAAGGAATTTAAACCTAAAACTATTACATCAATTTTGAATTTATACAATTTAATTAATGTACAATAATTAAATAAAAATGGAATAAAATATGCAAGATGCAAAAATGTTTTGTATATGTATGAAAAAAAGTATTATTTATGTAAAATAAAAAGGAAAATAAAAGGATGCTATTTTTTGGTGTATTTTAAAATTTAGGGCAAAAACCCTAATTCTATTAAATAAAAGGTATTATTTATTAATATATACAATATTTATCATTTATACAAAAATAAAATAAGAAAAGAAATATATTTGTAAAAAATGATTTTTTAGTGTTTAATATTAATAAAATAAAATATGTATATTTTTAGTATTTTATTCTAAGTATATTAATAAATATATATATTTATGTATTAAGTTCTAAATATGTATTATATATATATATATATAAATAATAATAATTTTTAATGTTTGCAAAAAAAGGTATTTTTTATGTAAAATATTTTCAGAGGGTATAATAAAATAAAAATGAAAATAAAAGTATTTTTACCTATTTCTCAATATTTTAATGAAATGTATATATTTATTTATCTAAGTATTAATCAAAAGAAAATCATATAAATACCTAATAAATTAAAAAATGGTGAGAAAAAATATTTTTATATTTTTTATGTCATGAGAAAAAATAAACAAAGTCAATCAAAAAAGAAAAAAGTCAAAAAGTCAAAGAAATAAGCAAAGGGGCCTTGGGGGTGTAAAAGCAATTATGTGGTGCAAATAAGAAAAATGTTCCAGGCCCAGCCCAGAAGACCTGTCTTCAACCTCCAGCAAACAATGTTTGAAAATACGCGCGCCCTGTTCCTCATCTTCCAACTCTTGATTCCTGGCTTTTCAATGCAAACTCATAACATAAAAGATGTTCAGCATGAAGAGACGATTCT